CACAAGGGTCATATCCTCCAAGTATCCTGATTTTCCAGGGACAGCCCTGGAATTATGAAAGGGACAAAAATGAGGGGTCAGGGAGGGTCAGTTGGGGGAAATGAGAAATGTGGGCAGATTCGAGGGTAAACCGTACGTGGAATGAGTCTGCCCCTGCGGCTTGATGGAGGTAGAAACTGTTTCTCATGTCTTGTTACACTGCCATTTCTACGGGGATATACGCTCGGTATTTATCACTCCTGTTATACATAAATCTCCAAATGGGTCCGAACTTCAATGTCTAAAACTCCTGGTAGAGAACAAGGATCCAGAGATCATGCTCAAGGGTGGCCAAATTCTGTGTGACTGCCATAAAACTTAGGGAACAAGCTGTACTACCAAAATGATTAAGGTTTTAAATGACAATTTTAGGTTATATTTTAGTGATCAAGATTTTATATATATTTTTAACTGCTATAACTGTATTGTCTCTGTTATACCCAATTGCAATTCAATGTATTCCTGTTGTGTTTTACGATTTTCCTGATATTGTAAGTGAGCTGGAACTGGTTTGTGACCGTAATAATAAAATTCATCCATTCATTCAAATGAGAAATGTCCCTCTTTCCAACTGAGTAATGTATGAAGGGTTATTTTGCTCTTCTCAGTGGAGAGCGACCTCTACAGGCCTGCAGAACTTTGATCCTGAATCTCCTTTCTTCACAGGGAGCTGCCTTATGCTATCTAGTTCAGTACTGACCACACTGGTTGGCAGCAGCTGTCCAGAGTTTCAGGGAAAGGTCTATCCCAGTCCTACCAGAAGATGCTGGGGACTGAAGCTGAGGCTTTCTGCATGCAAGGATAGATGCTTTGTCCCTGAGCTGCAGCCCGTCAAGAGCAGCTGTACAAACTGCCCAAACAGAGGAAGGAGAATTAAATTTAAAATCCTGCACTTCTACCCAAAGAGCAGGGAGACCTGCTGGACTTGCTGGGATCCCTGCCATGACACTGCCATGTTCTGACGATGGACCTGGACATAGATGAGACCCTCAGGATCCACCGGAGCCTAGGAAGCTACCATATACTGGGTCAATCTGCCTGAGTGTTATCTACACTGACTGACAGAAGCTTTTATTGATTTCAGAAAGGGGACAGTCACAGCTGTAGCTGGAGATGCCAAAACTGAACTTGTGACCTTCTGAATGCAAGGCAGCTCTGAATAAGCACAACATTAGAAACAGCCCTGTGCTAACCCTAAATGTTCAATAAATAGATTTGGGTTGCTATATTTCAAAAAGTGAAGATCTGGACACAAAAAAAGTTGAGCTTTTGGGGGGAAATTGTTGAGCTTTTTTCATTTTTGGCCAAAGTCTTTGCAAAATCTCAAAAACAAAAAAGAAGTTTTGAGATATTTTTAAGGATATTTGGTAACATCTACACTTGCAACCTAGGGACACGGGTGGCACTGTGGGTTAAACCACAGAGCCTAGGACTTGCCGATCAGAAGGTCAGCAGTTTGAATCCCTGCGACGGGGTGAGCTCCCGTTGCTCGGTCCCTGCTCCTACCAACCTAGCAGTTCGAAAGCACGTCAAAGTGCAAGTAGATAAATAGGTACCGCTCCGGCGGGAAGGTAAACAACATTTCCGTGCACTGCTCTGGTTTGCCAGAAGCGGCTTAGTCATGCTGGCCACATGACCCGGAAGCTGTACGCCAGCTCCCTCGGCCAATAAAGCGAGATGAGCGCCGCAATCCCAGAGTCGGTCACGACTGGACCTAATGGTCAGGGGTCCCTTTACCTTTACACTTGCAACATGGGTTGCCATACATCCAGATTCCCCCATACATTCCTGCCCAGACACTGTTTCCGAGGGCTATGTCCGGGAAATTCCCGACACATGGCAGCCCTAAAATAGATGGAAATATCAATAGATGCACGCATACATTGGGTTATAATTAACTGTTACTACTTCAGGAACGAGATCTGAGAGTCATTGTGGATAACGTGTCAGAACCATCTGCTGTGTCTGCTGCAGCACACACACAAAAAAGGCAGACTAAGACGCATTTGGAAACGCAGAGCAAATAATGTGAAATTGGTAATAACAGCACAGCTGGGAAATATCTTTTGGAGTTGGTTCAAATATTTCTCAGATATGTGAGTGCAACCGGATTAAGACCAGTTCTTATATAATATATAGCATTAGAAGCAAGCAACAGGGCGGGAAGTGGAGTGGTTCTGGGAGCAAGATTCATAAATTCCAGGTGTAATCTCTGGGTGACATCTTCAAGTCCATCTCTGGATTTCGTGTCAGCAGAGACAGCCCCCAACTTGTTGGTGCCTGAGGAAAAACTTCCAAACAGCAATCCCTAATTGGTGATTAAAATATGATGGTGCGCTTTAACGTGCTTTGCTTTGTGTGCTCCTGATAATTATAACGTTGCTCTGTTGTTGTTTGTTTTTGCATTTGCTCAACACCAAGAAAAGTCTCCCAGAGCAGCTTACAAAACCAGCAGTGAGATGAGCCACGGGGTCAGGCTTACAATAGAAAAGGACACAACACCGGAGGATAAAGGAGTGGGAGGCAAGAGGGAAAATGCATGATGGGAGTCCAATACGACTGGAGGACCCTACATTGGGGGACACTTCCCTGGGGTGGGCAACATGGTCCGTAGCCCCAGTTCCAGTTAAACTAGGGTTACCAGACGTCCCCGTTTCCCAGGAACAGTCCCCAGATTTGTGAATAAGTCCCGGGACAAATTCCATCCCCGGAATGTCCCCGGATTTCATCTAATGTCCCCAGGAAATGCAGCAGCAGTCTCAGCAGCCCAGAGCAGTTGGCTCTAGCTGGCTTCAGGAGCTGCTCGGAAGTCCCCATCTGATGGTGGTGCAGGGGCTCTCAGATGCAGCTTCCGGGCTGCCTCCACCTTCCCTGACCCCAGCAAGTAAGCTGTGAAGGGAGACTTCACGCTGCCTATCAGAGCTTGCATGCAAGCAGGAGAGGGCAGGGATTTCTCAGTTAGGCAACGGGAAGCCTCCCTTCCCAGCTGAGGGATCCCTGCCCCCTCCTGCTTGCACGCAGGTAGGAATGGGATTGGGGCTGCTCCGATGGGAAGGGAGGCATTGCGCTGCCCGAGCCTTGCCACTGCTGCCGCCCTCGGCCCTCCTTCTCCGCCTTCCATGCCTCAACCACCACACACTGCTTCCCCACCACCACCACCAAAGAACCAACAACTCAGGGGCTGCCCAGGCTCATGGAGAAAGGAGATAGAAGCCTCAGAGGAAGGGGAAACGTGGTGGTTGAGGTCAAGGCAGCAGCCGCCCCTCTGCCACCACCATCATTGCAGCATCAACGTCCTGAATGTGTAGTATTTAATTAATTAATTAAAGTGTCCCCGGATTCATTGGGGAAAAATCTGGTAACCTTAAGTTAAACCCTGGCCTACAGATTTGCAAAAACACCCACCCATGCCCCACGAGACCTTAACGTTCTTAATGCTCCATGAAATCCCTGCACACCTTCTCCAAAATTTCCACCTCCCCTCCCCCCCCCAAAAAAAGTCTTGCAGGCAAAACTGGATGGAAAACACATACTCCTGGACACATTTAGCCTCAAACCATCCATCTCACCGGTTGTTTGCCTGGTAGCACATGTTGCCAACCATCCACCTGCCCCAGACTGTTCTTTAATATAACTGTCCACGTCAGCTGCAACGCACGTTGGCAAGCGCCCCACTCGATAATTGCAGGTTGGAGGAGCACCATGCAGTTCTGTCTGCACAAGATCGTCAGAGCCCTCCACTGGAAAGCCTCCTTCCATAAGTCACAGCTGAGCCAACAGAGGAGCTTGAGGATGAGAACTTAAATAATTACAGAATTCCTGGCTGGTGTTGTCCCACTTCATTTGTTTAGGGGCGGGGCAAACACCAGGTGGAAAGAGATTGAGTAATTTTCTCCCCTCTCCCCTTTTGCTCCAACATGAAGGTCTCAGCCTGCCCGGTTGTTGTGGAGATGAAATCATGCTTCATCTCCACAACATCTCCGGCTGCAACAGTTCAGGACAGCTGCTCAGTTCCTTGGCTGCATTGACCCAAAAATGTGTGTCAGACAAGGTCAAAGGAGCCAGCAGATACAGCAAGAAAGATAGTGCAATGCGCTCTACGTGGGGCTACCTTTGAAGGTGACCCGGAAACTGCAATTAATCCAGAATGCGGCAGCTAGACTGGTGACTGGGAGCAGCCGCTGGGACCACATAACACCAGTCCTGAGAGATCTGCATTGGCTACCAGTATGTTTCCCAGCACAATTCAAAGTGTTGGTGCTGACCTTTAAAGACCTAAACGGCCTCGGTCCAGTATACCTGAAGGAGCGTCTCCACCCCCATCGTTCTACCCAGACACTGAGGTCCAGCGCCAAGGGCCTTCTGGCGGTTCCCTCATTGCGAAAAGTGAGGTTACAGGGAACCAGACAGAGGGCCTTCTCGGTAGTGGCATATTCAATTGTAAGATAAAACATATGCGAAGGGTCTTGACAGGAAGTCAAAATTGAAGAAAAGATTTTGTAAGATAAAAGGGGAAACAATATTTATTTTCATTATTATTATTATTATCATTATTATATATATATTTTTTTTCTGTGTGTGTGTGGGTACATGTTTTGTATGAAATGTTGTGGGAGCAAATAAGACGGTAAATAACAAATAACAAACAAAATATTGATGTATGTAGTCTTTATTTCTCAATTATATTTTTTGGTAGTATGGTTGTAATGTTTTTTGTAATGTAAAATCATTCAATAAAAATTATATATATATAACATAGGAGTCCTGTTGCTGAGGGGAAAGTAGGCAAGAGGATTAAGACAAATGCATGAAGAATAAGGCTACTCATGGCTATTTTCTGCCTCCTGCATGCCTCTTGCTGGGAGGCATACCAGTTGCCAGGAATTCGAATCACAGACATGAAGAGTTGGAAGGGACCCTGAGGGTCATCTAGTCCAACCCCCAGCAATGCAGGAATCTTTTGTCCAACATGGGCTCGAACCCACAACCCTGTGATTAAGAATCTCGTGCTCTATTGACTAAGCTATCCCGGGCAAGTTGTGAGCAGGCTGTCTCGTTCAGGTCCAGCTTGTGGGCTTCCTAAGGGCATCCAATTGGCCACTGTGAGAACAGAACGCTGGACTAGAGATGGGCCACTCGCCTGGTCCAGCAGGGCTCTCCTCCTTCATGCTGTTTACATTATTTTAAAATAACAGCAGCTTGATTAAACTTGACAATTTCTCCCATTTCCGCCTCTAGTTTGCTTGCAGCAGGCTGTGCATTGAAACCGGCACAGTGTCCTGCTGCGTCCCTGTTCCTGGAGAGCCTAGATTTTTATTTCCTGGGGCTAAACTAGGACTTGACTGCCTAGCGCAACATTAATTTTGGCATGTGTCTCTCCCGAAGGTACAATGGTGGAAGCAGCTCCCCATTGCATGCTTGGTTTGGCCATCCCTCCTCGGGAGTGTTCCTTTAGGGAGTTGCCCAGTCATTAAAAACCGATTCTCTGTGTGAACCAAGCGGAAAAATCCAGACGGGACATTTGAGGAGAGAAGTTCAACCATTTTATGTAGGCACTTGCTTAGCCAAAAGGCCACCTGGTGGCTAAGCTGGCTAGCATGCCGAATCCTGCCCCTTTTACTGGCGTTGTCAGTCTGGGAAGCTGACCCAATAACCTAGTGAAACAGAGAGAAAGGAAAGCAAACAGAGGCATGTACGAACGGATGGACCTGCAAAACAGAACAGGGCAAAGGGTTTTTAAAAGCACCTTCCATCCCGCTTGGGAACACCGCCGTGCGGAAGAACTCGAAGGTTAGGAGCCGCCTTGGAGGGTCACAAGCTGTGTGTGAACGCCTATAAGAACATAAAGGCCCTGCAGGGTGAGGCCAATGGCCCATCTTGTCCAGCATTCTGTTCTCACAGTGGCCAGAGGGAGCGGGTGGCACTGTGGTCTAAACCACTGAGCCTCTTGGGCTTGCTGATCAGAAGGTTGGCGGTTCGAATCCGCACAATGGTTGAGTTTCCGTTGCTCCGTCCCAGCTCCTGCCAACCCAGCAGTTCGAAAGCACACCAGTGCAAGTAGATAAATAGGTACCGCTGCAGCGGGAAGGTAAACAGTGTTTCCATGCACTCTGGTTTCCGTCACGGTGTTCCGTTGAGCCAGAAGCGGTTTAGTCATTTCTGGGCTAACAATACTCTTGCCTTTGTTGTTGCATATAAGAACAGTTTGGCATCTTGTCTATTAATGTCTTGGCCTATAATACCAAGTAAAAAATAGAAGCAAGAAGAAATTCTGACGAAAGAAGAATGGCAGACGAAATTAATGGACTATGCAGAATTGGACAAAATGATAGGAAGGATTCGAAACCTGTGGGACCAGAGATTTACAGAAGATTGGAAGAAGTATATGAATTACTTGAAGAGCAACTGTAATCAACAGATTATACTAGTAGGACTACAATAAGTTTTGTAAGGAGAAATATACGAAGTGTTACAAAGTAGAAAAAGATAGAGATATTGGTTATGAGTTTGAAATGTAATAGGGAAAATAAGAAATGCATACTAAGAGATTAGATTGGAATATTTTCAGACAGGATTGATGGAAGTCAAAAAAATTGAATAAGATGTAAAAGTATATTTAATTACTGTTGAAAATGATATGTTAAAAAACATATATATATATGCAGTTTAGTCCTGCTGGCCACATGACCTGGAAAGCTGTCTGTGGACAAACACCAGCTCCCTCAGCCTGAAAAGTGAGATGAGCTCCACAACCCCAGAGTCACCTTTGACTGGACTTAACTATCCCGGGGTCCTTAACCTTTTACCTTTCACAGTGGCCACGCAGGTGCCTGTGGAAAATCCGCAAACAGGACACAAGCACAATAGCAATTCTCTCTTCCTGTGGTTTCCAGCAACTTCGATTCATCCTGCCTTGCCCACCCAAAGCAGAAGGAGAGTGTAGCCATTGTTGCTAGCCTTGTCCTCCATGAATCTGCAGAATCCTTTTTTTAAAGCCACTCAAGTTGGTGCCTATTGCTGCCTCTTGTGGCAGTGAGTTCCATAGGTTAACTATGCCCTGCATGAAGAAGTACTTTCTCCTACCTGCCCTGAATCTTCCAGCATTCAGCTCCATTGGATGAGCACAAGTTCTAGCGTTATGAGAGGAGAAAAACATTTCTCCAGACACTTTCTCTGTGCCCGGCATAAATTTTCATAAACTTCTATCCTGTTGACTCTTAATCCCATTTGTTCTGTGCATTCCCACCACTGGTTTAGGAAGTGGTGTATGCACAACATTAGCCACAATCCTCATCTGCCCTGTATCTATCCTGTGGTTTCTCTCGAAATGCTACGCTTTGATGCATTTTCCCCAAATTGACAAAAGGGAATGACCTAGCTGTGTCTTGAGCCAGTAATGTGTACAGGGAGAAGTCTGTGGAAGGTGATCCTCTTTGCTCTCCTTCTCCTCCTCCTCCTCACAGCTTCCCCTCCATGATGTTCACATAACCAGCAGAAGCAACCAAGCGCCTGTTCTGGAAAAGAGGGAGAGACACGTGGGGAGCTGTTTTAACAACCGCCCACAGACAGGCTGGCTGTGTGTTTCATCCATTTAGATTTTCCTTCACATGCAAGAACGGTGGGCATCAAACCTGCAGACTCATCCGAATGATTGCTGACGGAAACATCCCAAAGATGAATTTTGAAATACTATGCACCTTGCTCCCTATGTATATGGTTTCAGAGGCCAGGGGCATGGCAGCCAGCCTGCCAGCCCTAACTTGTTGCCCTCCAGATTGCCCAGTCTGCAAAGGATGGGAGATGTTTTTATATTTGTTGGAAGCCACTCAGAGTGGCTGGGGCAACAAACAGTCAGATGGGCGAGATACAAATAAAACAGCAGCAGCAACAGCAGCAGCAGCAGCAGCAGCAACAACAACAGCAGCAGCAGCAACAACAATAGCAACAACTTCTGGTAGGGGAAGGCTTTGAAGCACAAAGTGCTCAAGAATAGATTTGTTGTTGTTGTTTAGTCGTTTAGTCGTGTCCAACTCTTCATGACCCCATGGACCAGAGCACACCAGGCACTCCTGTCTTCCACTGCCTCCCGCAGTTTGGTCAAACTCATGCTGGTAGCTTCAAGAACACTATCCAACCATCTCGTCCTCTGTCGTCCCCTTCTCCTTGTGCCCTCCATTTTTCCCAACATCAGGGTCTTTTCCAGGGAGTCTTCTCTTCTCATGAGGTGGCCAAAGTATTGGAGGCTCAGCTTCACGATCTGTCCTTCCAGTGAGCACTCAGGGCTGATTTCCTTCAGAATGGAGAGGTTTGATCTTCTTGCAGTCCATGGGACTCTCAAGAGTCTCCTCCAGCACCATAATTCAAAAGCATCAATTCTTCGGTGATCAGCCATCTTTATGGTCCAGCTCTCACTTCCATACATCACTACTGGGAAAACCATAGCTTTTACTATACAGACCTTTGTCGGCAAGGTGATGTCTCTACTTTTTAAGATGCTGTCTAGGTTTGTCATTGCTTTTCTCCCAAGGAGCAGGCGTCTTTTAATTTCGTGACTGCTGTCACCATCTGCAGTGATCATGGAGCCCAAGAAAGTAAAATCTCTCACTGCCTCCATTTCTTCCCCTTCTATTTGCCAGGAGGTGATGGAACCAGTAGCCATGATCTTCGTTTTTTTGATGTTGAGCTTCAGACCATATTTTGCGCTCTCCTCTTTCACCCTCATTAAAAGGTTCTTTAATTCAATAAAAGGTTCTTTAATTCAATAAAAGGTTCTTTAATTTAAGAATAGATACCATTCCTTAAAAATATCCAAATGCAGAAGGAGTTAGTGCTGGTTTGGTCATGTGCACAAAATGAAAAATGGCGGGATCCCCAAGGACATGCACTATGTGGAGCTGGCTTTAGGCACCAATGCCATTGGCAGACCAACTCTGTGTCACAAAAAATGTCTGCAAACATGACATGAAGGCAGGTGACATCAACCCCGCCGTGTGGGAATCCCTTGCAGACGACCGCAGTGCCTGGAGACAGACAGTGAGGTTGTGCATCCATAGCAGTGACTAGAGGAGGAATGACCCCTGGGAGGAGCACAGAGAGGAGAAACGCCATGGTGCATCTGCAGCAGCACAACCAGACACATTCATCTGCACATGATACATTTCTTGTATCTGTTAAGTTGTGGGTGAACATATCAGACAACACAGCGATTCTTCAAACAACTCTTGTTTATTCACAGGCCAGAACAGAACAGAACTGAAGGGTTCAGCCAGCCTGCTTATATAGAGCTCCACTACAACGCAACTGTAACAATTTTCTGTAACTATCCAATCACTGAATGTCACTTTCAATCCCTTATTTGCATATGGGGACCTGAGTGAAAACTATCTACAGTATCCCCCTGCTGGCCCAGGGTAAGAACTTCAGTACATAACAGTATTGGTCTCTACTCTCCCACTGGTATCCGCCGACATGTTACCAGAAGCAAGAGGATTTCTCCCGTCGATATATACAACTACCTCCATCGTAACGGTTATGTACTAAGCTTGGATCCTAGAACAATAGGCAGGTAGGATCGTAGAATGCAACAACTGATTGGCCTGCAGGAGAAGACCAATCAGGCTCCAGGAGGGAAGCAGAATCAGCCAATCAGATGGGACTCATTGTGTAAATAATGTATATAAAGGCCTGGATTGGGGAGAAATTCAATCACTGTTTTACAAGCTGCAATAAAGAGCATGAAATCACTGCAGGACTCCGAGTATATTTCAGTATCCACCAGCAGGCAGGCAGGCAATGTCTGAATGTGCAAGTGAATGTTTAAATGTGCAGCTTAACCCCAAGTGTGTCCTAGGGACCCCACATCATCAGATACATGACATACTATCCTCAATCGGCAGACAATATAGATCTAACACCAACTCGAGAATCCTTGAGCATGCAGAGTGGGGATCATATAAATATTGTTGCAGAGAAAAACAGCCCTGCCCCCATTGGCTGAACTTTTCTCCTAAAATGGCTGCCCAAACTTTGACCTC